TACGATGATGATAACGACAACAACCACTTGAAACTATCAACAGGTCGATGGGATGATGGATGAACCAATACTCTCATATGAGTAAGAGGAAGGTATCAGAAACTGCGCACTAGTGCGGTTGAATACCACTCTCCGGCTAACTTCTGGTAAACTATATGATAAGTTTCTGCATCCTCCTACCACAATCGATTCATGTGTAGCCCATCGACCTTATCGGAAACCTGAAAGTATGTTACGAGCACAGCCTCAAGAAAGCATCTTACCTTTCTACTTCCCACCACCCTGAGCTGCTGATCCAAGGCCTAGAAGGGTATTCTGCTTCTCGGGTAGATACATGACATTGGGGGATTTAGCCAATGTCTCAGCAATCTCTCGTGCTGCATCAATCCTTCTAACCTAATCATATACCAACTAGAGTTGATGATACCCCTCCCTCATCATCATTATGATGATGATTACCTCAATAAGACCAGTACCATGTTCTTTAAGGGCCTTGGATATCATAGTAGCTGCCTGAGCCTCACCCTCAGCTCTAATCACTGTTGCTATCCTCTCTTGTTCGGTCTCTGAGGAGGGAAGGGATGAATGTTGTTGGTGTATGATCATAAGACCTCATTACTAGCAACAACAAACTTCTGCCTCTCAGCTTCCTGCTCGGCAACCTGTTTCTCCTCAATAGCCTTGGCAAACTCTCTACCATAGTTCAAGTGAGTGATGGAGACATCATCCAGAGCAATCTAATGATAACAACCTTGATTATCAACCATGAGCGCCCAGTTGGAGGCTGCTCACATCAAATGCTTGGCATCGATCCACTACAGCATTCCTAATCTCCCGAGATACCTTCTCTCGTTGTGTTAGAAGCTGTTCAGCATTATAACGAGCAACAACTGCCTTCAACACCTGATGATGACCATAACAAGTCCTCCTACACAACTACCTAGTAAGTCCTACCTCATTCCCAACTGAAGGTAAAACTCTCTCAGCGTAATCGGGTCCCAAGGACTTATGTATAGCCGGTAGACGATCAGTAACAGGACGATAAAGTAGACGGACATGAATCGTAGCCATCTGAAGGTCCTTGGTACCTAAGGAGGGATAACCTTACATCACACATAGTAGTCTTCTTACCTGTAGTAGTCTGAATAAGTTTAGTTTTATCTGTATTGAATAGACATGTGGTCGTTGAAACCATGGTATTCTAATATGAGTCCTTCACATATATCTTATCAGATACACACTGAATACCTAATAGATGACCAGGCTGTAGAGGGAGGTGGAGGAGCTTGTTGTTGTTGTTTGATACACTCCACATGACTGCTCTCTGACCACCATC